CTATAAAATACTCGAAAGCATTCTTTACACTGTCAACCCAATCCATGTTAAGAAGTTTTTCCATTATAGTCATCCACTCTCCATCTCATTTTTTGTTGTGAACCACATAATGTATTTCCCAAAATTATCATCCAAGACACTTCTATCACTTCCACTAAGAACACCAATAGTAGTTTTTGGATCATTGCAAAGTGTTGTCAACGGATCTTTTTAAGTCTACGTGATGCTTAAGCTCTACCTCCTTAATTTGATTGCCTCTTCTACAAGAAGATTTAACTAGGTGTGTTAGCGTTGAATTGAAACACCGGGGTAGCGGTATGGGGGCACAGTGATGAGAGAAACCCATGATCTCAAGATTATTATTTGCTTGTGTTTCCTCTACGGCGGCAATCAGTGTGTCTCCAATAAAACTTATGCAAATTATTATAGGAGATGTTGGATATGTGTTGAAATCTCCGCTAACTCCGTGTTATGTGGCTTTTCCATGCAATGAAACTCGATCAAGAATCCCAACACCTGTCTTGTAATGTTTTAACAATGGTCTTGAATGTCACCAAGGACTTGCACAAACTAGGATCATCGCGAAGCACCACCATCATGTCTCCCTTCTAAAACTCCATATACGGAAGTTTCCAATACATCTTAACTATTCCATACCCAATATTGCATCAGTGCTCCCTAAATCTAAGGGAAGAAAATTCTCCATCAATTGAATATCATGCCGAGTTAAAATCACCCCTTTATAAACTCCCATGTTCTTCTCCACCTATCTGGTCCCCATCATGACTCCAAATTTCATGTGTCAATCATCTTAAGCCTCAATTGCTTCACAACTTAAGTAGGGATGAAGTTGCAGTTGACCCAGCTATATACAAACACCGCTATGTTCTGCTCTGTGATCAGTTCCTGAAATTTGATAGTACGATTCGGTGTTTAACCCTATCATCGAGTTTAATGAGATTTCTACCACATTCAAGAGAGGGTACTCGTCCACCACCAAAACCTTCTTTGTTTCTTCAACCTCAGTCTCCTCATCACACATTGTGAGAACAAGTAAGATTCAATCCTTGCAATGATGTCCTAGGGCAAACATCTCGTCCAACAGAAAATAAAACCTCTTGGCTCGCTTATCTTGAATCTTTATCTTTGTAAGGCGTTTGAATGCCGCCCCCGGCCGTGGCTCATTATTCATGCCATGTGAAGCCTCTCTATGGAATCCCACTGTTTGTGTTTGGTATCATCATGGTTTTAGCATTTTGGTATGATGATTCAATTGCATTGCTCCTATTAGTCAATTTCACTGCATTTTTATCTTCAACCAATCACGCTAATTTCATAATTTTCCACAATCCTCGTCGTTTCGGCAGATGAACTGCTGCTCCAATTACTGGTCTCAACGCTTTCAAGAAGTTTTCTTCCAACACTTTTTTTGATATTCCTCTCAAACGGTAGGATGACATCTCAAATTTATCTCTATAATCCATGACGGACCCATCTTAAACCAATGCGAAAAATTGCTCATGTAAATCCCCTACCCCCATGATTCTGAAGCACTCCAACAATCGGTCTTTGAAAACTTCAAAGTTTATGATTGGTTGACGTTGTTCTCTCCATTAATGCCATGTTAAATCCTTCCCCTCCAAACACAGAGTATAATGAATCCCCTTTAAAGACATCCAAATAAATCTTGAGAAAATTCCAAAGGATCTTTAGGGATGTAATGAAGAAATATGCATACTTTTCGGGGCTTAGAAGCTTTATTATGGTTAATTAATTCATTAATGATGTTTTCTAAATTTCTATTTTAAGAAAATTTTATTAGAGTTATGATATTTTTATATTTTTCCAGGATGGGATGTTCTCCCCTTTCCAAAGCCTATTTATTGATAATTTTTGGAGTTTTCTACAATTAATTATGATCTTTCAAAGTTATGGTATTATTTAAGCCTTTTTTTAATTGTTAATAGTAAATTAGAATTTTACATAGGAAAGTTCAAATCTTCGTATAAATACTCCCAATAAATCTTAGAAAATTATCTTTAAGTTAGGCTCATTAAGGGGAAGGGTTTAGACTTAGTTAACCTATAGATTAAGCACTAATCAAGGGTTAGTTCATTAGGAAAGAAGGTTGCTTACTGATTTCAAAGAGGAGTTGTTTGTATTTTTAGATTTATATTGAATTAATTATGATTTATTAAAGTTTGGGTTGAATTAATTGAATTACTGAATTTTTTTTAATGGATTAACTTAGAAAAATCAAAACCTTACTGATTTAACCTCTTAAATATCCAAATAAATTATGAAATTTTGGAAATTTTGAGGTTGATTAGCGGGTTTAGAGTGATTTGCCCAAAGTGAAGTCGAATTTTAAATGATTAGGGGTATTTTAATAATTTTTCCTAATCTAAGGCATTAGAGTTAGGGTTTTAGTTTTTTTAGTTTTAGCTTAAATCAGAGAAATTAATTATGTTTTAAAATAGATTTTTAAAATTTAATAAGATTCAGGATAATTAAGTTAATTAATTAGTTAGGAAAATTAAATCCAAAGTTTAAAAAATCATTAACGCGTTTAAACTGTGGATTAGAGGTCTTGAAAAAATTATCTGAGGTTGAGGTTGAGGTTGAGGTGAGAAATTTTGTAAGCTATTTTACTTTAATTAATTATTATTAAATATGTATTTATTAATTAATTATTAATTTTAGAATTTATTTAATTAAGAAAAAGAAAACAGTGGGGGTCGATTTTATTTTTCTGAATAAAGAATAATTTTGCGAGTTCCAGTATTTACATGTATTTTTTTGTTTATATTTTAATTTTTATGATTTATTGAAGTTTAAGTCATTTATTAAAATAAATAAATCCGAAAAATTCTCAAAAATTTCTTCTATTTCCTATTTAGATTCCTAGGCAGCAGGTAGAACCCATATTCATTAAAGAACACGTGTCGAGTTAAAAATCATAAGCTTAACAATCAGATCGTCGTCCTCTTCCTCCTGCCATTGTCATGAGTCATCCTTGAACTTTTAAGTCATTCGATCTCGGTCAATACTCAACCATATTCAGAAAAATAAAATGCAAAATGATCTATGAATATTTCTTTAAATATCAATATGGCTAGATTATAGTTTATTTCATAAAATATCAAGGTCGAGGAAAATGAAAGAGCTTGGAGTGTACCTTGCCTTGGTGAGATTTCCCTGCGATTTAGCGGTCACCAAACTTCATCAAGCCTTCACGAGTGTGTCGGAGGTGTTACTTCTTCCTTGGATAGTTCTCCTCTTGTGAATTGAGAGAGAAGAGGAGAACAGACCTTAGGCTTGGTGTGAGATGGAGAGGGTGTCTTGGTTGAGAGATGGGGAGAGTAGAAGGAAGTTTGGCCCTGGCATGAAATTTAGAGAGTGGAGGGGAATTTGTGAAAGATCTAAAGTAGAGAGGAGATGGCGATGTTGTGGGATCAATAGGAAACAGAGACGGCGGTTCGGTTGGGAGGAGTGGAGGAAGAGGGGAGAAAACATGGAGAAGTGGGGTGGCTTGGTTGGGAGGAGTGGAGGAAGAAGGGGTGTGGTTGGAAGAAATGGAGGAAAATAGAGGTTGGGGTGTGTGGGTTACTAAGAGGGAGTGGGGTCTTGGTTTGAACCAGATGAGAAAGAAGAGAGGGAGGGGGGAAGCGAGGGGGAAAAAACACATGTGAAATTTGGTAGCGAATAGATTTACATGCATATCACCCAAACAAGTACACTTACATAACTAACACCCGCGGCTCCATATTTGCCTAAGGCAACGACACTGCCCCCATGTCACACAAATCCTACTGATTGCTACTGCTCGAGTCTACTTCAAACATTGTCTCTTGATCTAACAACCGGAGAGGGCGGGTTTACATGAAACTCCACAATCTTCTTCATCATTTATTCCACGGCCATGAATCTCCTCTCAATGGATGAGAACCGCCCCTCAATGGCCAAGAAAAGCTCATCCACTCCAAAGTTAATTTGACTCACATCTCCCTCTAATTTCGCTTGCAATGCATCTACTTTCTTGGTTGTCATTATTCCTAGGACAAGCTTTCGATCACGAAGGTGAAACACCTGTACGTTGTGATCCCGTTGTTGGCTTCCAAACTAGCTCAAATCGTAACTGTACAGCGAGGTTCAGTCACGAAGGTGAAACCCTATACATTGTGATCCCATCATTGGCTTCTCAGCTAGTTCGAATCGCACAATCTCGTCACTGGCTTCCCTACTAGCTCAAATCGTGATTGTATCGCGAGGTTTGGCCATGAAGACGGAACCATGTACGTCGTGAACCCATCGTCGGCTTCCCAGCTAGCTCGAATCACTTCTGTATCAAATCATGATTGTATAGCAATGTTCAGACATGAAGGCGGAGACCTCTAAATCGCAATCCCGTCGTTGGCTTCCTAGCTAGCTCGATATGCGATTGTATCGTCATTACTCACAGGATGTTGCTCTAATATAAATTTGATAGAAAAGAGACAATTTTCCACGGAAATTAGGGCAAACAAAACATTTTACTTCACAAGCACAAAGCAGCATAGCCCAAATGCATAAAAGATAAGCACCTACAATTTGAGAGACATGCAGTCCCTCCTAAACCCTAACCCTATGATTCAAGATAACAAACACACATATCTAATCCAAAACATATTAAGTCGTATTTAAACCCCAATATAATAATAACTAACAAATGACTAAATCACCCTTATAGTCTTGAGCCTAATATAAGCTTTCAAATAATTTGGCAAACGGTGTCTGCTTATTTAACACAATTTTAATCAACCTATAACTAAAGTTAGCTAAAAATGTAAAATAAGATAGCCACAAACATGAAATTCAAAAGAATGCACTGGTGATCACCCCGTTTCCAAACAAAGATACAAAACATTAATTCATAAAATTGGGAAATCAAGCTGAAAATTACACCTGCAATATGAAAAATGTTGAAATGGATATCAGATTATAGCAAAGAGAGTATTTACCTTAATTTGAACTAACTGTGCTTCAGTAAATTTAATTCCTGTCAGTTCAGCTGAGCAACCGGGCTTCACATGCAATGAAAAAGCGGATGGAACTAATCAGATTTCTTTAAAAATCCAATGCCAAAAGTAAATTGAAATGATCATCCAAACTACTTTACTGCACATATACAAGACTGCAGTCACAAAAAAAGGAGCATTTATATACATGGCACACAATTCTTAAGTATTTACATGTCACACCTAAACTTACATATTTACACATATAGCAGACAAATCTTTAATATAAACTCTAAAGTAGCACAATTACCAACTTTTAAAAGTGAATAACAATTTCATACATAGGTTTAAAGCACCAAAATGCTATGTAAATATGGAAATTTAGATGGGAGATGTGTAAATACATAAGAGCTGTGTGCTATAAATGTAAATTTCCCCCAAAAAAACCAATACAGCAAGCTCCTAACCTTCATTTATCTTTGTTCATTGAAGGCGAGAAAATGCAGAGGGGGAAGAGTAAAAGGTCAGCAAAAGAAGGATAGCAAACATGCCTAAAAGAGATCATGAATATTGAGCTAAGAAGAATTCATGGGCAAAGACCAGGTTATGGTGGGAATTAATCCCAACTAAATGATGCCAACATTACGAATCTTCACAAGCTACATGAAACACATCGGAAAAAACTTTATGAAGTATTAGTTGTCTTATTAAGTACATTTTCCCTTTTCTAAAAATCACCCTATTACATAGTAGGTAATACAAACTCATTTTACTCGATAACAGAATGGCAAAATAAACTGATAAACAGAAGAAAGATAGAAATGCAGTAAGATGTTTGGTAAAACAACAAGAATGCGAAACCATAAAAAGATTGGGCAAAAAAACTAAAAAACAAAACTTAAATAATAATCAAATACATAACATTATTTTCGGTAAATACCCATGCAAAAAAACTTTCAAATGTTTTGCACAGAAAATCCAAACGTTTTAGCCTTTTCAAAACTACAATCAGGTTAAACAATGCTAAAAAAGAAAATGAGAATATTTTATTCTCTTTCCCAAACGATCTGTAATTCAAAACAAGGATCCCCATGAAACCCTTATGAACTGTTTGTTACAACTACAGTGGAGGATGTATAGGGTGGTTAAATAAATCTCACTCCCAGCTAAGCAGAGCTCAGCAATTCATACAAAGATACTGAAAATATAGGAAGATTTGCATAGAAACCGCTCAGTTTCTATGTTTTCACATGTCTAACACGAAAACTTCTATTTTTACATATATGTCACATTATCTATGCATGAGAGGGTGCATTTCACATTTTAAAGGTTAAGAGGTGGTTTCTTTATGTGACATGAAAGATTTGGGCGGTATAAGTGTAAAATGTAAAGTTTAGGTGTTAGATATGTAAATAAATAAGAATTAGATGGTATGTATGTAAATGCCCCGAAAATATATTTGTTAAATCACCTTCCAAAGTATCATTTGTTCCTTGTGCATATGCTCCTTTCATTAATAATTTACAATGATATATAGAGATATTATAAATTTATTTATGCCTTTCTATTCAAGGACAAATATAAATTTCAAAAAAAAAAATGGAAAGACTAAATGGCAATACCTGCCCAATAAAGGAAAAAGTAATACAAAAGGAAAGGATTCAAAATAAGCATAGAGGAAATCCGTACTAATAGAGAAATGTACAAAATAATGACCACCAAAAAATTCATAATTAAATATACATACACAACAATACCCAAAGGATTTAATCCATTCAAAAACTACACTAGCTTTTAAAAGAAAAGCGAAAGATGTTGATGATAGTGTGTTTGTTATCCAAAAATTAAAGTAATTCATAAGGGTGGCACTATCAACCTACCATATTTCCGGCAAAAATATTGTTCAACAAGCCTAAGTGCAAGTGCTCGGTGAGGTGTCCAGGGCAGTGATTATAAATGAGTTAATGCCCTCAATCAATAATTCAAACTGAACTCAATTAATTCTTATGTAAGTTTGTTTAAGTTGGTAAATAAACAAGTGTGGATACTTTTTTAAAACTCAAAAGAAAATGAATTAAGCTTCGACACACTCAAACTTGTTTAATTATATTCATGAACAACTTATTTGTTGTTCATTTTACTTATTGAACATTGTTCAATAGGTAATTTGTTGAAATTTTAATATGAAGGTCAAACATAGTACATATATTAATTAATTGAAATTTGGTTAAATATACTATGTTTAACTACTTAATTTAAAATAATACATTACAGTGCAACCTAAATACTATTTCAGGAATAAAGATCTATCAAATTTTTTAACATGTGTTCATTTATTATATCTTAATTATACAAATATCAAAAGTATATTAATACATTCAAATATATTTTTATTTTTGTTTATTAACATTAATATTGTTGAGATTGTTGAAGTACAATTTTGAAAAAATATATCTAATCTCAATAAGCAAGAGTTCCCATATTACGAACGGATGCGAATAAAGAAATTAGTCCATGAAACTAATATTAGGATCAGATATTGGAATATAGGTACTCTCACTGGTAAATTAATGGAATTAGTCGATATTATGATTCATATAAAGATAAACAACATGTGTATTCAAGAAACTAAATGGGAAGGAGAAAAGGCTAAGGAGATTGATAACTTAGGTTTTAAGTTTTCGTATACAAGAGTCGCACTAAAAATGGTGTAGGTGGCATTATAGATAAAAGTTTGAAAGATAATGCGTATACAAGTAAGAGTCGCACTAAAAATGGTATAGGTGGCATTATAGATAAAAGTTTGAAAGATAATGTTGTAAAAATTAATAGAATTTGAGAAAGAATTATAAACCTTAAGATTATTGTTGATACCAAGATTTTTAATATTATAAGGACTTATGTTCAACAAGTAGGTTTAGATATAGGTTCTAAAGATAAATTCTTGACAGACTTAGAAGTTTCATTATAAATGATACCGCTTGAAGAAAGAATTTTATTAGAGGAGATTTAAATGGACATGTTAGTAGAGTGGTAGAAGATTTTAAAAATATTCATGGTGGCAACGATTTTGGAATGACAAACGAAGAAGGTAGAATCATATTAGATTTTACTTTAGCGTAAAATTTTGTTATTGTCAATACTTTATTCAAGAAAAGAGATGGGCATATTATTACTTCTAAGAATAGATCTAATAAAACACAAATTGATTCTTTTCTTATGAGAAAAAAAGATCGCGTTATGAGTTGATTATTTTGTTATGAGAAGAAGAAAACTTTGAGAATGTAAAGATTGTAAGGTCATTTCAAGTGAGGATTTAAGTACTCAACATCAATTATTAGTTCTAAATTTTAAGATAAATAGTTGCAAAATAAAGAATACTATGAATAACGGTCGTACATTAGATAGGAGTACCTAAAAGACACAAATAAAATTATTTTTATGAGTAAAATTCAAGATTCAAAATTTAGGATGTTCATGAAGAAGTAAATTTTATGTGAGATAAAGTAACAAACACTGTTAAACAAGCGGCAAAGGGGGTACTTGGAGAATCAAAAGAAAAAGTTTCTAGAAATAAAAATAGTTGGTGATGGAATAATAATGTGCAAGATAAGATAAAATATAAGAACATATTGTATTATAAAAATTGGTTCAAATGTAAAAACTTAGAGGACTGAGAAAAATATCAAATGACCCGTAAGGAGTTTAAGAGAACAGTCTGTGACGCTTAAAATTATGCTTTTAGTGATCTTTATAATAGATTAGATACTAAGGCGGGTGAAAAGTATATGTATAACTAGTCAAACAAAGAGAAAAGAAAAGTAAAAATTTAACTAAAGTAAAGTGCATTAAAGATGAAAAATAAAAAAATGGCTTTCTTAAAAAAAGATATTCAACATATGTGAGTGAGTTATTTTGATAATTTTTTTAATGAAATTTCTGAAAATATAATCAACATTAGTGATCTAAATATCGTTAATAATAATAAACATTTCATTTTTACCGTCACATTACTAAAAAATAAGTTGATGAGACTTTAAAAAAAACCAAGGGAGAAAAGCCTGATGAACCTAATGAAATCTTAATTGAAGTGTGAAAATATATATAAGAGATTTAGGAGTTTCTTGGCTTACCAAACCCTATAATATTATTTTAAAAATTAAAAAGATATTTGAGGAGTGGAGGAAGAGTATTTTGGTCCCATTTTTTAAAATAAAGGGATGCAAGAGTGTGCAAATTATAGAGGAATTAAGTTGACGTACCATACTTTAAAATTATGGGAGAAGGTAACTGAACATAAATTAAGACGTATTACAAAGATTTCTCATAATCAATTTGGATTTAGGTCAGGCAGGCCTACTATGGAAGCTATACATTTATTGAGAGGTTTAATGGAGAAGTTCAAAGAAAAAAAAGATAATAAGGAAGAAAAAAAGATGATCTACATATGATTTTTATTGATTTAGAAAAAGTTTACGATAAGGTTCCAAGACATATCCTTTGGAGAAATCTTGAGAATAAATGTGTTGATATAACTTATATTCAAGTCATTAATGATATGTATACTATGATATGTATACTAAAGTTGTTACTTGTGTTCGAACTAAAAGAGGATTGACCAAATCTAACCAAATATTTTCATATTTTTGTTGGATTGCATCAGGGATCGGCTTTACATATCTTTTTGTTTTAGTTATAAATGCTCTTACTGGACAATTATAGGAGGATGTACCTTGGTGTATGTTTTTTGTTGATGATATCCTTCTCGTAAATAAGACGAGAGAGAAAGCTCAGAAAAAACTTGAATTATGGAGGTCTACATTGGAGTCTAAAGACCTTCGTTTGAATAGAGTTAATATTGAATACATGGAATGTAATTTTAGTAATAATAGCTCTAGTGAAAGAAAAACTATGGGTGATCAAATTATTAAAAGGTGCGAACATTTAGATATCTCGAACCTATTATTCAAAGTGATGGTGATATAGATGGGAATGTTATTTAGTAGAATTTAAGTTGGTTGATTGAAGTGGAGGAATGCTCCAGGCATATTATGTGATAGAAAAGTACGCTTAGACTGAAAGGAAAATTTTATAAGATGGTGGTGAAACCTGCAATACTCTATGTCGTTGAATGTTGGCCTTTAAAAAAGAAGCATAAAACTAAGTTAAGTGTTGCCAAAATGAGAATGATTAAAAATGAGAATGATTAGGTAATGATTAGGTGGATGAGTGGCTTTACACTTAGAGACAATATGCAAAATAAATATATCCGTGGTAGGGTTGGTGTAGCTCCAGTCACTGACAAAATTAGAGAAAGTCGTCTTCGATGGTTTGGTCACATTAAACGTGGACTATATGATAATCCGATTAGGAGAGTAGATGTTTTAGATTCGATTTATATTAAGAAAGATAGAGGTAGACCTAGAAAGGTTTGGGCATATTGTATAAAAAATTATCTTGATTTAATATAATTAAATGAAAATATGACACTCAATAGGAAGCAATGGGAAAAAGGATTCATGTAGCCGGCACCATTTAGTGGGATAAAGGCTTGTTCTTGTTATTGTTGTATAGTAATAATAGTGTTTCGTGCTTAATCAAATAAATTAGAGGTGTGTCAATATTATCAATAATTTAATAATACTCCAAATTTTACAAAAATAAAATAACAGTTTATAATTAATAAAATATCCTAATAGTTAATTTACTTCCTAACTTTTTAGACTCACATGTGCTCTAACCCCTCATCACCCCTTCCACCCCTACCCAGAATCTCAAGACTCTCAAAAGTTTAAAGCCTCAATCATAAAAATGGGAAAAAAAAATACAAATGATAACTTTGTTAATGTAAGAACTCAACGAAATTATTGATGTTTAAAGGATTTGTGATAGAATTGGCAATGCAAAACAAGTGAAAGCGGTAAAATCCCATAAGTTGAATACTCAATAATTTGTGGCACAAGAATTACTTGCCCCAAAAATTAGATTGGCGTGATTTAACCTAAATTTTGACTAAATCTCAATAAAGTGGTATTAAGAAGTGTAAGAAACTAAAGGCATAAGTGCAACTTATTAATGTTATATGATCGCGAGAAAGATGGTTCGTGGCTTCTTTATTATCTTAAATAATTACATATAGTGGAATGAGTAATTGCTTGTTCATTTAAATTTGTAAAATTATTTTTTAACGAATTACTTGAATTTTGAGCTTGTTTATTAGATCGTATAAGTATTCTTTCAATTAGTTTAAGCAAGTCAAATATGATTACAAGAAAATTTAAAGATGTCAACTAAAAACATATATGTGAAAGCTGAACACAAGCTAGAACCAAACATGAACTTGTAACCTGACCACACCAACATCAATCCATGATATATTCGGCTCAGCTCGACTCGATTATAGCCCTATCCAAAGGACCAAAACAACCACACAATTATACACAAGCCCACCGACAACCCCATTGAAAGGGACTTGCCCATTTGGTGCAAACGAGCAAAAGAGGGTAGCTTCTCTGTTTTAATAACGGTTTGATGGATGAAAGATATCCATGAGCTTGTCACGTTTAAGTGGAGTCATAATATTTTTTTGATACAACTGGTGTGTTATGTAGGTAAATGTTTTAAAAGACGAAATCGAGGATTGAGGTACTTTTTCTTTGAGAGGACAGCGTAAGCCTCGACGCAAATTAAGGCATAAGCCTCAAAACAAAACAAAATAAAAACAAATAAAATTAAACATAAGAATTAAAATTATAATTAAGAGGGATGTACATAAGTACCACCCAATTCTTATAAATCTAATGCCCTGAGCTTTAAAAAGAATTGGGCGGTATGCATGTAAATGAGTAAATTCCCCTAAAATTAATTTAAACCTATTTATAAATCTAACAATTTAATAAACAACAAAGTACATCTACTTATAATAGTCATTTAAATACATATCACCCAATTCTTTGAGGCTCTAGAAGGCTCGATACGGAAGTTGACACAGAGCTGGACTTCTATAGTGGATAGGATACAGAAGATGACGGCACAAAAGAACCCAGAAGACATCATCTCAAGAACCCAAAAGGCACATAAGCCTTTGATTGGACTTCGACGCTCAGGATGCAGAAGGCTCGGAAAGAAGTAGAAGCCTTCAATGCTCGGGACGAACTTGGACTTCGACAATCAGACGACTACTTGACGCAAACGTGCTAGAAGGTTCGGGATAAAGCGTAAGGAAAAAAGCAACAAAGGTCTCACAATGACGCTCTAGCCCTATGTTGTGTGATATGGCAGTTAAGACAACTTTAAATTAAGTAATTTGCTTCGACGCCTCATTCGATTCAAGGCGTAAACATTTGGAGGTGACACCTCACTGTAGATAGGCATAGGCCTCGCCAGCACTGACAAGGCTTACGCTTCAAGTTGTTGTGCAAGCGCCTCGAATCGAGGCATGCCTCAAGGCGAAAGCCTTGAATGCTTTTTTAAACATTGATGTAGGTAGCATTCAAAGATAGGACATATATGGTCAAGATAAATAGTGTGCATGTGGTAAATCCAAAATTTTAATATGCTACGATAAATCCACAATTACTTTCCTTAAGTTAAAGAAAAACTAAAAAAATATTGCAATACCTACCAAGCATCCATGTTATTTAAAATTCATGTGCATAGAAGCTCCAACTAAGCATTTCTCAAGCCTGACGATAGACTAGAGAATAATATAAACCTATTTTATTTTTCCATCAAGGTGGTACTTGAAGAAAGCCAGATACACATAAAATGTTTGTGATGTTTATAATAAATATTATTTATCGGTCAATTTTCATTTATGTCTCGCTAGTTTATTAATTCAACAAATATAACAAAAAATAAGTATGATGGGATAGCATATAGCAACCTACTTAAAGTCTAGTTTTATCATTATTTCGCCAATCAAGACCATCAATTACACCCTTAAATACAACCAACATCCCATGTACTTGATTCCAAGCTAGTTTAAATATTTTACTCATTAAAGGCAAAATTATGTTCTCACACAATCAAAACCATTCATTGAAATAATTTTGATGCACCTGTTGGATAATCAAGTGATCATAAAAATTTTTGAATCATGTCTGCCTCGAGTTTTAGTGAAGCTAAAGAAAATGGAGATATTTGATTTTAATAGGGGTGTCAACGGGTCGGGTTTGGGTCTGACCTGAATTTGGTTAACCCGAACCCGACCCAAATAATAACGGGTCAAAAACTACGACCTGAATAAGAGCTTGACCAGTTAACCCAAAACCGACCCAAACTTTCACGCTTATTTGGGTCATTTTTGGGTTTTTGGGTTCAACCCGAACTAAACCAGACTAATAAACGGGTTGAATTTTCTGACCATAACTTGACTCGAGAAATATTCGAGTCAACCCTAACCCAGATTTTTCGTGTTGGGTTCGAGACGTGTTGGCGTGTCAGGTTAATTTTTGACAGCCCCATATTTTAATTTTATACAAATAAATTTCTTACGACCACACCACAATATAATAGGTTACAAAACGTAACAATTTAAGACATGGGAACACTTTGGAATTGTTGCTACTATTTGTAACAGCTTTCATAGAATTATTGTGAGAAAATTATTTTTTGAAAGTACAGTGAGTATTATAGACTTTCTCCTTTTTAAAAGTTGGAGAATAATTTTCTTATAACCGCCACTTCATAGATTTAGTTGTAAGAAATTCTTACTAAGCAAAAACATTAAAAAATTTATAGTCAAACAAAACTATGCCAGTTCTTTAGAAACAAAGGTGAGAAAAAATCCGCTGTGAACAGACCATTAATCAGGCATCAGAATTTAAGAAAACTTCTCATGGGGATTGAAACTAGGCAAGGCTTTGTGGCAGAGCCCCTAAAATGTATTCAATGTTTGTGGATTATTACATTAAGGGCGTTATTGAGAATTTTATTGTACTTCTGGTTGTCCTAAATTGGGGGTATAATTCTGATGTTTTATCAAAGTAATAATAGTTGAAATTATGCACAATCAAAATATTTTGAAATTTGCAACAGCAGCAACAACAAAACAGTCATCGATTTGAAGAACGAGAGTTCTGTGTTTTTGGTGTATTGCGGTTTCAATTAGGTCTCACCTATTCTCAACAATGTGTACCAATCTACACACTGTCTACCAAATAGTTCTCAGTTTTTTATTTCATCCGCGTATTAAAATGCCAAAAAAAATTTATTGATTGAAATTTTATGTAGTATAGCAAGAAACCACATTGCTGATAAACTAAAGGGCCCCAAAACGATGAATTAAACGCAAGCAAATTCCACGCAGAAACCTCTCAGCTCACCTGCCTGCTGAAGGAAGTTGATGTGCATGACCACAAGCAAGCAAAAGAGCGCAACGGCGACGGCGAGGTAGACATACTCCAACACCATTCGAATCCTCGGCGTCAGGAGCTGAGACAACATCCCTGAAAGCCGCGCGTGGACGCGCAGGAAGGTTTGCTCCGGATCCATCCACACCTCACAAACCCTCGAATCCTAATATCTCCCCCTTCCACCCCTCTTCCGTATCAAAGACAAACCAAACCCTAATCAAATGCATCGATATACAGAGACGGGCGGAAGCGGCAATAAGATAGAGAGCATATCTACGGAGGCGACGGGAGCAGCGAGGATGGATGATTGTTGCAATCGTCTTCGAAATTCCTCCCACTGTTTTGCCTCGTTTCTGATTCTGATTTCGCTCTGCAAGTAGATCGGGGAACTTGCCTGCCACAATTTTTTTTTTCTTTTCGATTAATTTTAAGATATTACAAATTTAGAAGATTATTATCGCTCTATTTAGTGCGGATATATTAATTATACCGCTGCCAAGAGCCCACTCATGTCATGTCAAATATCTTCCGTAAAAATAATAATTTTATGAGTTTTTTTTTTTTTTTTTTTTTTTTTTTGGAATTCATTTAAGTGTTGATTTAGGTTGTGTTTGGGAGAGCTTCTTTGCAGCGGTGACGTTTTCAAAACGCGACCGTCTATTTGGAAATCTCATTTCGGTGGCATTTTTTAAAACTTCGTTCGCATGTTATTATTAGACGTAGATCGTGGGGTCCTACCCGCGATCCGCGTTTCATAGAAGCGAAAGACTGGTAGTGCCCCTCCTCGTTCATCGGTTTCGAAATGTCAAACTGTTTTCTTCTCCTTCGTCCTTCCTCCTTGGTTTCGAAGGGTCGTCTATTCCTCCTCACTTGTGAATTGTAGGTCTATGTTCTTCTCCTTCCTCCTCGGTTTCGAAGGATAAGTTGTTTTGTTTCAAAGTGTCGGCCGAAGGAAATCGATAGCTTTTGATCTTCTCCTCAAAGGATTAGGTTTAATTCTCCGATCTTCCTTCACTTTTAGGTCGGTAGATACCCCATTTGCTCGCATTTGGAAAGATCAATGAGGTTAGGTTACAAAATAATCTAATTAAAAATGGCGAAATCTAAAATGTTGTACATGATCGTGTCGAATTGTCCACTGTTGCTCACACCTGCTTTATTTGTTTTTATTTTGTTGAACTATTTTTTATGCATTTTATTTTATGAAGATTTGTTTCACGCTGCACCAAGGCTTTCTATGCAAGTCGACAAACTCTCCACTGTTTCTTTGAACATTTCGTTATTGCTCGATTAGATTTGCAAATGTTTTATCATAATCCTAAGTATATATTCAAAATTTAGATTCAAGATTTAGATGCTCAGGAGGAGGTGGATCTATTGCTTAAGGGTAATTCTCATTGCCATTGTTAATTGAACTTTTTTTTTGTCTCATTATAGTAGATATTAGTGTGTTAAGGTGTATTTCACTTTTATTTAGTTAACTGTGCTTTAACTGTGCTTATATGATGTGTTCCGAAATATTTAAGTGATATAAATATTTGGTGTTTTCTTGTCCTAACATTTGAACATTAAATTTTAAGAATAATTTGTATTTTCATGTTCTTGAATCTTCATTTTTATCTTCCCTTTATAATTGAGTTGAGAATGTTGGTAAATTTGTAAATATCAAATTTTTGGCGGCATGTATGTGTCAAATGAGTTCTAAAGTAGGTTAATTAGAACAATACCAAGTTTACGTGCCAGATTGTTCTTTTAACTAAAAAAATACGCAAATCAGATGCTTACAAAACACACAAACCAAAAGCTGCAGCTTATCCAAAACAGTAGCAAATTGTTCATTTTTCTAGAATCAGCTATTCTCTAAACGCACAAACTAAACAGACAGACAGCTTATCCGGATCAGCTGCTTATCACCCAGATTATCAGGATAAGTTGGATAAGCTGCAGCTGCCCCAAACAGATCGTTAGAGGAGCTTATCAATTATGCAAAACACCTTTAAAAATCTACATTGTGAATTAGACATTGTCATTTGCTATAAAAAATGACAAAAATTTATCATTATATTGAAATAATTTTTAGATTTTATTAAATTTTTGCTCTTCTGAGAAATTCTTCATTACATGTGTTTATGCTGAGAATTACATTGAGGTGTAAAAAATTGACATGACACACCAACTCAGCTGGAACACGACTTAAAAAATTAGGTTTGGCATGATCCGACTAATCTTTTTATCGAATTTGTGTCAGGAATTCTAACTCTTGTAATGTTTTGGTTCGTGTTAACCTGTCAACCTGGAATTCATCCAAAACTTACTCAATTACCCAAAATTACCCATCAACTCAAAATTTACCCGAAATTGACCTGAATTTGACTTAAAATTGACCCAAATAGTTGTTATTCCTCGTTTTAAATGGTTTCTATGGTACGAGTTTGGTTGGCAGGTTAAATGAGGATCATGTTTATGCTAAACTTTTTGACTTTTTTCATATTCAGGTTAAGTAATGTCAAGCACTTTTGTGTTGGGTCATGCACAAACCAGAACCAGACCCGTGAATCTGACTTGACACCTCTAAAATCTCCCCATTAGAAAAAAACAAATTATGGAATCTAATTTTTACTCTTGCTATCAACATTTCAAAATTGTGATTTATATCGAGATATTTCAACTGTATTTTGAAAGCCAGAGAAAAAAGTGTGAGGTTAAATTTATTGAATTTAAAAAATGTGTATGTAACTCATAACTTTTAAAACTTCCTAATGCTTACCTATCTTTTAGTAAGTACAATCGGCAATTTGTTTATCTTATAATGTTCTTACTTGACAAAACTCTTTGTAACATTTTTTGGTTGAATGATTTTTCACTCTTATTTTTAATTGTTAGAGCCAATTACTTCCGATCAATCTCCTATTATTTTTCAACTAGGCATCGCATTTATTCGTTGATGTAGATTTATGTATAAAAATTTACGAAGTCGAAATCTTAAATCATATCTCAAAATTTATATCGAATGATGAAAATTTGTTGATGAGGTATTGCATATCAAATCATATGCTCAGATGCTTTGATAAATAGGTTGTTGATGCACTGGTTTTTAAAAATATACATATCATTAGAAAATTAGTTAACCAAGTTTTTATTTTAGAATCATTGTGAGAAATATAATCATGAATACAATGAGGTAAGAAAATACTTTAATTATGGCTCACTTGAAGTTAATTTTTTTTTTAACTTTTGTTCGTTCATCATCGTTGAATTCTTCTTCTTTCAAATCTTTCCCACTTTTCAATTATAAAGTGTTTACATGTTCTCTCACATTAATTTAGATGTTGCTCAGGAGAGCACCTAATTATTGTAATAATGCTTATCATAAAATTTATTAGTTCATTGCCTTTCGAGAATGTCATAAGTCTTTGCATGAATTTAGAAAGAGAGAGCATGAGTTTTATATAAGCATCCATTTATGAGATGTCTCCATTCATTGCCTATTTTTGCTTGCTCAAAGGCTAATGAAAACCAAGAGGTTGTTAAATCATGTTTTACTTATCTGAAAAAAATTGTATGATTGCACAAACATGAGAATGAATTTCGACACTACTGATTTTGATTTTTCATAAATTTAACACACAGAACTTGGGATTATGCAAAAGAATTATTTACTTGGAACAGAAAGCAATGTTGATTTCTTAAATTATTCCATTACACTATTATAAGCAAATTTTCCCTTATAAAATAAAAATTAAAAAATAAAATGTTAGCAAATTATGCAAAAGAATTATTTACTTATAAAATAAAAATTAAAAAATAAAATGTTAGCATCAATTAAAAAAATTTTGTAAGTGAATTGAAGATAAAAAAAATAGTTTAAAGGTTTCTCAATCAATTCTGAATAAATGTGGTTATACATTAAAATAAGAATAAATCAATATGTGTGGTACACTATTACAATATAAAAACAAGCAATCAAATATTATACTAAAAAAAAATACCTCCCAAGAAGCACTAAAAGAATAAAATAGAAATCAAACTACCCGATTATGTCTTCAAAAATTATCATGCAACCATAAAATAATTTTATAGAGTAATATTTTTCATCAAAATAAACAATTCAAATAAAAGTAAAAACTTACTATTTGTTTGTATATTAATTTCTTTATTTGACTCTTTAGTAATGAAAAATGCATCCTCTTTATAATTTTTTTATTTTGATGAACATCATAATAAAGTTTAGGAGTACAATCATCTTCAACAATAAAAAAATCTATAGCTTCAGTGCATGTGTAATCCAATGGATCATAATTTATCTTTTTGAAGTTTAACATATTCAATAATATCATAAATTATATTTATAGTTAAAAACAATATAAAAAAAAAAAATACTAGCAAGCATACCTATTTGTAAAAACAAGATTATATCGAACATATACTAAATTATATAGTCTTCGATGTTCTGAATAATTTCTTTATTTTGCATGAATTTGCTCAAAAACACTCAAGTTTCTTTCACATCCAGATGTTAACTAAGAATATGACTAAATTTTGTAAATTTGGAGCACTTGAACCAAACATCTTCCACCATTCATATGTAAAACATCAAATAAGAATAACTTTAAGAAGAAGCCTAATTAAAAGCAAATTTAATTCAATGCAATTTATGAAATAGATTTCACCAATAAGTATTAATATTTGAGAACTTACTATATTGCATTTCTTTTGTCATAGATAAAGCAATTGACATTTCAAAGCTTTCCAATTTATCTCAAAAAGGTCTAACTTTAATCATTGCAAATGTAGGCTTTGCACGTACATCATTGTTTTCAATAACCTCAACCAAAACTTACATCACTTCGAATTTTTTACAGTAATTCCTAACATCATACTTAAAGTGTGGATTCAAAAAATATGTTGCAGAGTGAATTCCTTGAAGAAGTTAACTATTCCATATCCTCTTAATGAGGCTTGTGCATGGCTTGTTTAATAGTTTTACATTTCAGATTATATTTTTAACTTTTTCTTTGACTCTATACATTGCATCGTAAACATGCCCAAGTGATGACTTCTCATATCCATCAACTATTTGTAATAACCTTATAAGTGGTGTAGATATTTTTGACATAATTAGACAATTGTTCATAATCTCACTATCTAACATAATAAAACATGTATATCATTCCTTAATTGTTTTTTTTTTTTGTCAATTTTGATTATGTATTGTATGATCTCACTATCTAACATAATAAAACATGTATATCTTTCCTTAATTGTTTTTTTTTTTTTTTTGTCAATTTTGATTATGTATTGTATTTGTTAGTAGCAAGTTCTTGCAAATCATGTTTATGTTCAAAGACGCACAACTTATGTTCAATCTGATATTTTTTTCAACCAAGATAATATGAAAATATGATTATAAATAACTATTGTTACCTTCGATGCATATTTACCAACCTCCAATATACGAGACATACAACCAATATTCTTTAAGATTAAATTCAAGCAATGTGCACCACAAGGAGACCAATAAATGTTATTATACTTTTCATGTAATAAATCTCCAACTTTTTTAAGTGTGTTTCATTATCAGTGACAAGCTGAATGATTTTTTTTTTTGATTTACCCACTCAACAACTTAAACACATAAAGAACTCATAGTTGTTGCATCTTTCATGATATCAGAAGCTTCGATAGATTTTAAAAAGCATATATCTCTACGACAATAAACTAAATAAATGATCAATTTTCTATTCCTCGTGTTTGTCCATCCATTAGACATCAAATTATATCCATTTTTCTTTCAACAAAGTTTGAAAGAATCAATGAGTGACTTACATTCTCCTTATAATCTCTGAACAAGTTAACTCTCATTTGATAGAACAAAGGTAATTGATAATCAAGACCAAATGTAGTTCTTGCATCAATAGTTTTTCGAGCAAAAGGTAAATTTAAGGCGTTGAATATGATACAACTACCAAAAAACCATCTAACAAGTGGCATATCGACCCATACGATCTCTTTAGAAGCCAACACACTTTTTAGGGATGGTTGTGAGTTAGACTTAGTTTCAAGAACAAAATAATTGTCATTCTCATGTAGCTTTATTTTTTGTTTGTCTAATCATTTATCACAAACAATTGAACTTGATGATTTTCAATGAGAATAATATCTTTCTTCTCAATAAGATGTTCACCATACGTGTGAATATAATCATTCTCCTATTGTGTCTCCTTTTTTTTTATATGTCTTTCAATTTTTCTAACATTATGATGATTAATATGAAATTGAACTTTCTCACATGGTGCAATTCTTCCTTTAACCCCAACATGATGTTGTTCATCCTGCTTATGCCTCCACCTTTATATATCAATCCATAATGTCAACATTTAAACTATTTCTTCCCATAAGAAAATCTGAATTTCACTAAAATGATTCCATGTTAGATAAAACATTTCACGAACATTAAAGGAAAAAAAAACATAAGATTAACTTCAAGATGACTCCATATAGGAATAACAAAGAGACAAATTTGGAATAAATTATATATATATATATTTCATATATATATTTCAACACATTAAAAGAATAGCTAAGAATGGCAAATTGAGATAATTGCACAATGAACTTAACTATTATTGACCTCACGTTTGTGATGACCTACTCTCTCAATAGAAGCCCAGGACTCAACCTTTGGCTTCCTTAGTGACCTTCCTAAATAGCTATAGATGGGACTCACCCATATAGGACATCTAACCAATCCTACAATCACTTAGGGATTCTTGAGGTTAAGCCCAATTCCTCAACCCTTGATTGAGACGATCGAGGGTCTATCTCAGTGGAAGCCCAAGTTGACTTCTTATAGGTGGAAGATGCCTTAGGTTACCCATGGAACTCGGAACCATATGAATTCCCCTAAGGACCCATTGAATGTCTCAGGTATTCTCATTGACCCTACAGAAGCTCGTTAGACAGAAGATTAGGCCAAGGCCAACGAGGAATTCTTACCACCTTGCCCTAGAAAGGCTAGTGTCCTCAATCGACAAACTTCAAGCAAGTTGACCAACTGAATTACAAATGTTAAAATCAAATTATAATGCAAGCATGATATAAAATCTATAAAATCAATTAGATTCATAATGACATTAACAATGTTTCAATAATTGTTCCCTCATTTTTATAGTTGTTCAAAACGTCTCTATAAATACAAACAAAAATATGAATAAAAGGGATCTCTCCTTGATTATCCCTACATAAATTTCAGATTGATTTTACTCTCTCTTTTTCTCTCCCCTTTACTCGGCTTTAACTCTCGGGAAAATACAAATCAGAATCCAACACACACACAGATATATATAATAGTTTAGTGATATATCTCATTTTTAGACGAGAAAAATGATGTTACATGTTTGTCAAATTAAGACATAAATAAGAACACTAGTGAATATTCCATTATATCTTAAATAATTATTAAACTATTTTTTAACCTATTAATTTAATTATTGCATTTAAATGCGTGCAATAATTAATTAATCAACTTTATTTATCCCTTTTTCTTGCATTTATTTTGCATTAGTCACCTTAAAACAAATATCATAATTATAAATATAACCTTAACTAAAAATTAAGCTAAAAATATCACACTCATACTTGCTCATAATTTATAATTTTTGAACATGCAAAAAATATTAAAAAAATATCTAACATGGAAAGCAAGGAATCATATGTAATTCATCCCATAAAACCATGATATTTTCATAATTATTCCTTATATTTTACATGTAAAACCCCGAAAATATAATAAAATAAATTATAGCAATATATTAATTTATAAATATATCCTCTTTAACTATTTCTTTTAATAAATAACACAAGAATTACAAAAGTGAAATCATTTATCAATCAATAATAAGAGTTGAGATCAAGTTTGAGTTTCTTCGGAATAAAATCCAGCGGTACGAGCGAGTCGCACCGCGGGCACCGTGGGTTCGCCTTCGATACCAGCACGTATAAAAGGCAGCTAGGGCACGCAGCCGCCATCATCCCGCCGGCCGATTCAGATCCACCGTCGTCCTCCTCCGCAGCCGACCGCCGCTTCATCGACGTCGACGCTGTCGACCATGAAGGCGTGGGTGAACGGGGAGAAGCCGACCCGCACGCTCGAGTGCGGACTTTACTTTCTCCAGCGTGCAGACGCTCTGGAAATCGCTGCGATTTCGTCCTCCGTAGCCGAAACCCGTGCCGGCGAGCTTGAGATCGAGGAGGGAGGAGTTCTCGGGGAGGCAGATCGAGGAGGAAGATGGAGGAGGGAGATTGAGGTCGTGCAGTCCTTGAAGCGAGCGATCGGAGTCCATCTTGTGGAGGTATGTCTTTCCCGACTGCAGTTAAGATTAGAGTTAGGGTTTTGGGGAGAAATTTTGTGCGACGGGGTCGAATTCATTGAGGTAAATAACTAATTTCTGAATTAAAAATCTGTTGATGCAAATACTAGAATATTCGCTTAGTGTCATTTGTCAGTGCGTGATTTAAAATTTAACTATACCGATATGAAGATTAGAAACAAGTTAAGTTTCTAAGATAACTTCAGACTTCATTCAATTTCGATCAGATAATTAATTCAGATTTGAATTTTTGTTTTAAATTCATCATTTAAATATAGGTGTGAAATTTGTAAATACATAAGAACATAATTTATTAAGATCGATTTTGATCAAAGTATCTCTCAATAACTTCAGATAACTTTCAAGTACCATTAAAATTTTCGTCTATCTCATCCAAAAGTTTCGGAATATTAATCGGATTATAAATTTTTTTTCGAGTTATTATTATTTAGTATAATAAAATTATATATTTTAAAACATAATTTATTAATTTCAATATACAGTATTTATATAATTAGAAAGAAGAGATAAATAAAAACGCACAATAATTCAGCTTTTCATAAATAAATTAACGATTGATCAAATTTAAAGGCCAATTTCTTAAAAGGGTCATTGATTTATATGTTAAATTTAAGAACTCTTGAAGATTAAAATTATTTAAATTAAGAGAGAAAAATTAGTCCCAAATCAAATTTGAGCATGAAATTATTGATTGGGTGTATCGGAATCACATATTGAATTGTCAAGGTGACGAAGAGTTACCATTAGATCCAGATGCCGTTCCCAGCCTGATGGAACCTGGAGGTCAAGATCCACCGCGGATTCATTGGCGGAGGAGGCTGCGGCGCCGCCGCCACCGCCGAGGAGGTCACGGGTAAACAAATCCCGCTGCTTGCTCTCAGCTTCCTCCATAATCCGCAAAAGCATGGTCACCTCGGTCGCCATGAGCCTGGAATCAAGTCGTCACGCAGGAAGCTGTGAAAGGCTAGAGAGAGATGGGGGGTGGGGAAGGGGGGAGGAAGAAGATGAGCCTGGGGAGGGAGAGCATTGAAGGGGGAGGAGATAAATAGAGGGTTATGTGGGGTCCTGGATGCAATTAATGTGCGGCGTAGATATTATTGCAGCAGGGGACTTTGAGTAGAGGAGGCTGATGAGTAATTAATAGGTTTATTAAAATAGCAGTTTGTTATTATTAGCGAAGTTAATTTGGTCATTGGAATCCGATGCGTGTGGGGACAATCGGTTCATTTATTGCGCTAGGAAAAGTACAAGCTCTTAAAGCAATTAAGACTGATTAGTGGTCCTTCAAGCTATTAAAGTCGGGCTCCATGATTTTCAGCATGGTTCATATCCATAGGAATTATTAGAAACGTCTAAAAAAGTAATTCAATATAAAATGATTGTAATAACGAGGAGGATTTTTATATTTAAAATATTTTGAAGCTATTTTATTCAATATAAAATAAAATGTGGGATTTTATTATTATTTTTTATTTCATTTGAAGTAAATTGAAAAAAAATGTATTCAAAATATATAAGTGCATGCACAATAACTATCAGTACGATTCTAAGAACGGTCAGACGGCCAAGGATGATGGCTGAACAATCAAAGCGTCTAACAAAAGGATTATAATTTGAGCCAGCCATCTAGTGATCGATTGCTCGATCAAGTTGGCCGACATGCAATGTCGGTGGATCCAATCGGCACACCACACTTGCGGTCCCAACTACCTAAACTTCTTGTAAGGATGTCCAGTTGCAAGTAGTCGACTACCGACTTTATCTTTGTAGAAGCGATCGTCATGAGATTGGTTGCCTCGGTTGACCGAACTCAAATACTTCGACGAGTTGTAGTCGTTGTATTACACTCAAATTGTAATGTAAATTTGATATTAAATCGGCGCATTAATTGCATTAAGGGCAATTTTTATAAGTGTTACATTCTTTCTGTAATTATACAAATAGGTTCCTATCAATAGAGAGTCAGAAAATAAATAAAGAGACTTCTTTCCCCCTACTTCTATGCTCAAAAAATTTTCTAATCGCTCTGCCCTCTCTCTCCTCCTTGTCTTGGCTCTAGAGGCATGCATTTTCGAAAAACAATTTAGGATTCAACATTCTAAAAGATGTTGCGGTGAGTGTGGAACATGCCCCAGACGAGAAGCAGAGCTAATTACGAAGGAGAAACCTTACAGAGACATATTATTAGTGGAATTCAATTGTCCATGAAGAGGTCTAGGCGCTACGCTTGCAGATGATGAACCAGTTCAAAACCCTCCGGGCGGTAATGACTTCGAGGAACGATTCACCGCCACTCTTAGCAGGATAGTCTCGGGGAACTTGCTCTGAGAGATTTCCTCGCGAGAATCCACCCACGCCCAACGGTGATCGATTGACCAAAGGGCATGGAGATTCCAGCCTACAGACAGTGCATCATCTACACCGATAGTCAAGCACCAGGCAGATCGAGTCGAAGCACCAGCCCGGGCGACTACATGCAATGTTTTCTCCGGCAGATTCTATAATGAAGCTAAAGATTCACCATTTGGATCCTTATAAGGGAAGAGTGACCTAGTTGACCACATGGCTTCATTCAAATTGTCGGTTGTAGTTTTGCAGATCGACGACACCATAAATTGTGTGCTTTACCTGATCCACTTAAGAAGGCCACATTTCAGTGATTTAACAGCCTGTGGATGGAATCATCCCATCTTTTTATGAGTTCAAAAAGCCAATTTTTGGCGCACTTCGCCAACATGGAGAAGCAACGTCTGGAAAAGAACTCTCTCGGACATGGAGTGGACACGACTTGAAGAAGTTTTTTTTCTTTGAAACATTTATTTAAACTTAAAAAGGGAGTGTCGTTGTAGATGTATAGATTCAATCGATGCAATGAAACTCATGGTTAACTAATTTCGCTCAAACGATGTTCAGGCCTCTCCAACTCTCTAGAAATTCGATTTGATCGATTGAATGATAGTGGATGATCGTAGAAGTTCAGAAAACACATTTTTTGAGCAGACAATTTTAAATAAGTTTGGACGATTGTTTTTAATGCTCGCCACCTGAGGAAATCCCCTTCTTTGACACTCGACTTGAAGAAAAATGAAAAAACTAGAACATCGACCAAATGAGGTTTGTCGCTCCCATCAGTGAGAGGACACCTTTGCCTTCGATTCCTCGCAAAGCCGACCAAACTCCCATTACTCTCCACTGACTAGCAATTTTTTTGTGACTGTAAACGCAATCAGCGGAGGCCCCTTCCGCCCTTTTTTGATAAGAAGGAGAGGTCACCGATCCCAACGATGGTCTCATGAGAAAAGCATGCCAAGGATTTACCATGAAAATATAATTGGTACTGAGACGGGACGGTTCGACTGTTGATTTCCCAAAAAGGAAAGAGAAAAGGATTCCCACGTCGCAATCATCACAACCTATAACATTGATTCGTTGTGTTCACGTGATAAGGCGGCGATGTCGGGCCTGCAGTAATGTTCGACCGCTATTTCCCCACGCTAGGAGACTTCGACTCTATCGACTACACTAGAGGAACCGGTCGATGAACGGATTTAGAACTCGGTGGACACATGTACGCAAAAAAAAAAAGGTCAACTACGATAGACCGATTAAGGTGGTTTACGCCACCTTTGCAAGTCACTATGGTCTGAAGGGTCAGGTTTCCAGAGATGGTTCTATGCTCACTAGCAACAAGAACCGCGAAAGGCAATAATGAATATCATCCCGAAGACAAGTCCCCGAGGGTTGCCCTCGTAGGTGACGACAAGATTCACACATAGCAAGAGGAATAAACCTGACCAAGCAAAGATCTAATCGACTGCACACGGTGGGGGTAAGCGATGACTTAGGCCCGCGGGGGAGACGATCAGTCGGTGTATCCCAGTTGAACAACACAAAATATTTGAAAGCATGATTTAACCTACCAATCAACAATTCAAATTGAACAATCCATTAAAATTAACAGTCATTTGACGTAAAGTCATGTGCTATCTAAAATTCAAGATTTAGCCCTGAGGTTGATCGAAACACTTGTCAGCGACAAGATCTGCAGTACATTATAATGATCACCTCAGATGCGAGTCTCTCAAGAGGCGACAATCCAACTTAACAAGATAAGCTAAATATCTTTGTTGATCGATTAGTGCAACAAACTCCCTTGCGAGATGACACACAATTAATAGAGTCGCGATCGATTAGGAATAAGTTCCAAGTAAGCAAAAATTAACAAGTTTTTCTAGTACGAGAGAAGAATTACAAGTACTTTTTTATTTCGGCTTTTCGAAACAAAGAAATATTACAAGTTTTCTCGACCCAGGTTCTAGCAGGTGGCAGAGTGATCTTTGCTACCAGAGGCTTCGGTCTCCTTAGTATCCTTCAGGCTTGTTTGGAATCAAAGCGGAGAACTTATTTGGATCAGAGAATTTGGGATTGATAAGACCGTGGTGAATGAATCATTGGATGAAATAGTCCACCCCATGCCTAAGCTTCTTCGATAGGTCGTCTTTGTGTTCTCCCTTGGAAATAAACGAGGCAAACTTATCCTTCAGCTCCACTACCTCTTTCTTTAAGGCTTCTATGGTATCAATGGATTCTTGATTAGCCTCGAGAGAGTTGTCAATTTTGAACTCCAAGAGGTCCCAATCGTCACGTGCCCTCCCCAGCTCCGCCTCCTAAGAAGCAATCTTCATCTAAGCTTTGCCTAAAGAACTATCTAACTTGATCGAGGCCAATCCCTAAAAGTGGGCAGCTTGCATCGCCATCAAGAGGAACCAATCCGCGTTTTGGCAAAGCTCTTGACGACTAAAACTTTACAGAGATCGACCAAGCTCTTCAGACCGCAACAACTACAAACCTTTGTTCTTATCCAACTGCGGAAACCAGTCCTTCAACGTGTTCAAAAGACTGAATCGTTTGTCAGTGCCGACCATCCACCCGTCCCTTCTACTCACGGACTCCCACTCAAAATCCTTCTTACTCCTTTTCAACAGAGGGGATGAGGGGCAGCCATAACCGCCCCACCCTCCCAACCCCCGCGGGAAGGCGAAGGCTCGTAACGGGAGACCGTGCTGCCCCTTTCAACAGCGACATGGATGAAGGGGTAAGGAGTCGGACGGTCTTTGTCTGCTTGAACATGGCAATGAAAGAAGAATCATCGACTTGTGAACCTGGCGGGGCATTAGTAATTTGTGATGCGCCGATCGACGCACCAGATTTTGAGGAAGAGGGGGCTGAAGCCGTGGCTTCACTTGGAGTCCCTCTATAAGCAGATGTTTCCCCACCACCTTCCTCTATCAAGAAAATGAGAAGCAGATTTTCGAGCGATAAGAGTGACCTCACCAATCACTGTATCTTGAATAACGACTGTGGTTTCAGACACACTCATAATATATTTTGAGGCCGCACTACTAAGGAGCGGATCCTCGCCTTTTACGAAGTTACTAGAATGCCAAAGTTTAAAACCTAAGTTATCAATCTCCTTAGCCTTTTTTCCAAACCATTTAGTTTCTTGAATACATAAGATATTAATCTTTCTATGAATCATAATATTGATTACTTCCATTAAATTACCATTGAGAGTACATATATTACAAAGTCTACGAATCATAATATCGATTACTTCCATTAAATTACCATTGAGAGTACATATATTACAAAATCTTATCATAATAGTAATTTCATTAGTTTCGTGAACTAAGTTCTTTACCCGCATCCGTCCGTAATGTGAGAACCTTTGCTTATTTGACACTATACTCAGGTGCCGGTGAAGCGGCCCTTCCAGACTTTTCACTGTATTCAGGCTATGCAGTCTGTCGCTTCCAGGAGATCCTTAACACTTACACAATGATCAAAATGATTCATGTAATGATTTTTTCGACAAATTTTACGTGGTTGTCGACTGCCTAAGGCAATCCTCCACTTTTCACATCCGGACTTGGGACTGACAAAAAATAAGAAAAAAACTTTGACATACTTCAAAATTTGTCCATTGAAGGAAGGGCTTTTGAGAGCGCGTCTCTTCCTTGTGACAGGATACCTTCATTTTTCTGTGGTAGCGGCTTGGGGGGGCTGGTGACTCTCGTTTCCGTCAGCCCCTCTTTACCGACCTCAATGCCTTCGACAAT